TCAAAACTGGATGTTAAGATCTAATAACTAGATATGTAGTAAACACTGTGTTCCTGAAAATGTCTGAAGCATTTTAATATCTTTCAGCTCTTTTAGTTGGCTTACTCTCCGTTTGGTTAATGGTCCAAACATCTAAAACTTTTCAGCTGTGTCAAGTTCTTACAAAATGTCCACTGAATGTTACTTGAAACAAAATTAGCAAGAAAGAAAGAAAGAAAGAAAGAAAGAAAGAAAGAAAGAAAGAAAGAAAGAAAGAAAGAAAGAAAGAAAGAAAGAAAGAAAGAAAGAAAACAAATTAAAACTACAGTAAAGATGCAAAACACAAAGGCACACATTGTAACCCATTCACCTAGCAATTTTGTGCACAAGCTCTAATTTCAAACAAAAAGCTGTTTAAGCCATTAAAAGATAGTTAGTCTCCATTTAAATTAAGGGAAAACTCTTTGAAAACATGAGATAGACACCAAATAATTATTCCAGCACATCATAAGGTAACACAAAGTTTCCGTTTCCCAAACTGAATCTGTGATCATGATAATTCTAGATCCTCCACTATGAATCTATTTTTTTTCTTTTAATAACACTGATAGGACATTAAATCTGTGTGTGCATATTCTAGCATTTAACTACTTACTGTGTGAAATCCCCACCACTATCACCTCTTCTACTTCTTCCTCCTTAGACAATAGTCCACCTGGGGCACAAAGAGAACTGGGTGAGAACGTCTCAGTTTTTCCATGTGATAACAATCAGGTCTACAGTTTTACAGTTTTTTCAGTCTGCAGTCCAGTATCATTTATATCTACACAATGATGGTCCGTGTTGAGTGATCTGCAGTGGAGTTAATACATTATCTTCACCTCTATAGTTAGCAAAGTGAGCTCGATATGGCACAGATAAGATTTTTCTTTCCTGTTGACCACAATTTGAAAAAAGGAGCATCTGACAATACACCACTGCTTTCAAATAAAGTCACATTTTACTCTCTTTTTAAACAAACTCTTAGTACCATGAGATTTAATAGTGATGCAGCCATTCAGAGCCAGCCTCTACTAATCGGTGTATTCAGTCTATTGGTGTCTCTGACACTGCTCCCCCAGCCGAGTATCCTACACTTAACACAATTGAGTGATGGATAATCTTAATCACTGCGCTGCAGACTTGAAAAGATCCAAAAGAACCCTTTTCGTATAAAGCCTCTGTGTTGGTTTTCTAGTTTAGCCAGTTGTCCGTGTGGACATCCCAATACTTTTACTCCTCCGCCACATCAAAATCCTGTCCCAGCACAGCTAGAGGTCGTGTAGCCATCTTCTTCCATCTGAAGTCAATCATCATCTCTTTGGTTTTACTCCCATTCAGAAGCATATGATTTATTCCAGACCATTAGTCCCCTGTATTCCTCCTCCTGCTCATCACTTATATATCCAATCACTGAAGAATCATCAAAGTATTTCTGTAGGTAGCATGAATCAGAAGTACGAGGTTACAAGGTGATAAGGAATGGAGATGGCACAGACCCCCCTCTACTGCCCACATACTGCCTTATATACCTGTCCACCACCACGTTTACTGACATTGCCTGTAGTTTCTCTCTCAGTAGCAGCATTTACCAATGTCTAGAATGTCTGTTATTATGAAACCATCATATAACAAGAAGAAACATTTGAGCAAACCCAGAAGCTAGATCATTTTTGGCTCACACCCCTGTCAAGCAATTTTCATATATGGAAAAAAGTAGTATATAGCAGTCAGCAAAGAGGCACAGAAAAGAAGACCAGACACCAGCGAAGGAGGATAAGAAGGACAGACGCAACAACATTGTCATCCCCTATGTAGCCGGTGTATCAGAAAAACTCAGGAGAGTTTTCTCCAAGCACGACATCCCGGTGCATTTCAGACCCAGCAACACACTCAGACAAAAACTGGTTCACCCGAAAGACAAAACGCCAAAACACAAACTTAACAATGTGGTGTATGCTGTACAGTGCAGCGAGGAATGCCCAGACCTCTACATTGGAGAGACCAAACAGCCACTTCACAAGCGCATGGCACAACACAGAAGAGCCACCTCCACAGGACAAGACTCAGCAGTCCATCTGCATCTTAAGGATAAAGGACACTCTTTCGAGGATGCCAATGTTCACATTTTGGACAGAGAGGACAGATGGTTTGAAAGAGGAGTGAAAGAAGCCATCTATGTCCACTGTGAGCGACCGTCTTTGAACACAGGCGGTGGTTTACCACACCAACTGTCTGCCATCTATAATCCAGTTTTGAGATCCCTCCCCAGACGCCTTAACGCCCACTCACATCCTGGGCCATCTGACCTCAGGAATTCGCATGATAAGGTGGGGCCAGGTTTCACAATGAGCTCACCCAAAACTCTGGCTGATTGGGACCCACACCCAGTTTCCCACCTTGGCTCAGGCGATTAGAGGATCATCAGGGGGTCCTTTTGTCCCTCTGTGGGGGGTCACTCCCACTAGGTTTATATCTGGGACTCTCCACCATTTGACCTTAGAACTGAAGAAGCTTCTCGGATGAGAGGTGAAACGTCTTCAAGCAACTTAAAGAAGTCCAGACGCTTTTCTTTGCAAGCTCCTTTGACTACGATGACCTGGATGACTGTGAACCTTCACAGACAGTATATAGCAGCTAGTGACAATTAATTAACACATACAAAGTGTCCACAATAGTTCAATATTGTTTCTCCCCCTGGTACTGTCCTCTTTTCTCTTTGAAGCTAGTGGAATTCTACACAGGTGACCTCATCACACAGCGAGCACTGGAACGATACTGTACAAACTGGGAATAGAAGCTGGCAAGGCACAGTGGGCGAGTTTAGCAGTGGTTAGTACTTTGCTGTTGTGTTGTGTGTACATATTTAAGAAAATCACTTTCCCAAGTGCAGTATAATATTTTAATAGATAATTTCTTGACTAATCTCAAATAACATTGTCTCATCAACCCTGGAAATTTACTCAAACACATGTTAGATGATCAGACCCATGCTGACTAACTGTATGATATGAGGTTTCGGAAACACCATTAAATGCCACTCTGGATTCTGTTTTCTTTACAGTGTAGCCTCACTACCTCTCTATAGGTACATAGTAAAAGTATTTTCTGTTTAATCTGTAAGACTTAAATTTCATTAATTATTATTTTATTTTATTATTTTACCGTCTAGATACCATGGGAAAAGCACATCTTGCTCATTGCTACTGTCAATCAAGGGATAATCTAAAACCTGTAAATATAATTCAGGACCAAACGCTTCTCTGTCCCTTCTGGGCTTCACAAAGAGTTTCTTTTCCCTTTGTTTGACACAGCCCTGGGATATCTTACTACTATTACCCTGATGGTAATCCAGTTTTGTTTTGTTTTTTCCAAAGCTTATCAACGCTCCGGTCATCAGGGACAGCATACAGCAACCGCAGCAACTGCACTGGAATGTGGAAATACAGGATGTGGAATATGAGTCGCCTGCAAACAGTGCACCAACAAAAGGCTTGGTATGTTTATACACATTCAGAAAGACCACTTTAGGTATTGGGCTGGGGACTTGGAATATCACTTTGGGGGGGATAAAGGCTTTATAGTCAGTGTTCAGTTAAACAAGACAGTTTGAAGTTCAAACAGAAGGTTAAATGTGTGTTAGTTTCAAGGTTAAGATCATGTTAGACGATGAGGGGATGTAATAGGAATTACTAACATGCTAATAGGTGTTTGCACTCTTTGTCATTTTGGAAATATTCTTACTGGCTTTGTTGCTTTTCTTGAGTAGCATGACCTGGCAGATATATTCATGCCTTTAGGGTACAATTAAATTACTGTAGTCAGTTGTCAAATACACATGGGGAAATAAAATATGCCCTTAAGCATTTCTACTCACCAATTAACAGGCTACATCTTATTCCTTTCTTTTTTATTCAGAATGTGTTGGGGGATATATGTGAAGAGTTTAAAGAAACATTTACTAACATCTTCATATTACAAAACCAACAGTGTAAATAATATGGATTTTTTTTTAAGGTCTTATCTCATAAATTAAATTACAGAAGCCTTAAATGCCTTTCAAACATCTTTTTCAGATTTTATTCCCAAAGAAATATGTTTAGTGTGACAATATACAATTTATCATAAAAAGTATGTTGAATTGCTGTAATAAATGTTGCTTTGGACGTGAAGCCGTAACCGACAGCACCCAAACTGACCCAACCTCCTAGTGCTCCTTAGCTTTTATACCAGGCTATAAAAAGAACACAGCGGGCCAATTATTAACTCCTGTAACCCTACACTACAGACCCTCCCAAACAAGCACATACACACAATGATGTTGAAATAATGGGTGGGGCTCAGTACCCAGTGAGATGACAGGGCTGAAAAAGCACCTTTGTGGATTTAAATAAGTGATAAGAACACAATTTCTATCATAAAATTTAAATTAAAACATGCCAATAATGTTACCATTACTGGCATCAGTGGCACTCATTGTCCCTTTTTTAATCCTGTAACACATTTTTTTATCTTTAAGAGGAAGGACGTTGATTCTGTGATTAAATACAAAATAAATAAAATCTTTTATTTCACAGCTACACAGACTACAATCAGTGCCTTTGGTAAACATAAGGTTCGCAAAGACGTGTATGCTCAGTCGTTTAGCAGAAGCAGAAAGGAAGTAAAGCGTGTTGGACATGTGAGTTTTGTCTTGTTTTCAACAAATTCAGTGAAAAACCAATGAAGAATCGCCCTATCTTGTCACATGTTTTATCTTAAGTGTATCTAAAATATGACATATTATATATCATCTGTGCCATGGACCAAAACTAAAACTATAATAACTACATGAAAGACTAACTAGGTTATAGTATGTGATATATTGTAATGAAAAACAGCTACTAAAGAGGAAGCCCGGTCTTTCATTCAAATTTCAACCACTGCTGGTTTTGGTCTTCTTCATTAAAATTTACTAAAAATAATAAACATATAGAATATTGTGAGTTTTAACCTTTAATTATTTTCAAAATATACGTGAAAATTAGGATAATTAACTTCAACCAAATAGCACCTTCAGCCAGAGGGAGATGACGTTATTGTCACCACGCCACACGGAGAAGGTCAAAAGTCAACTCGGTAACATCAAAAGCGAGATGCGTGTGAGCGCCATCAACAAAGACCTCAGGAACTCCTGACTGGCCGGTGTTGTTGCGTTGGTTTTTCAGCATTTCCAGCATTGCGTAGATGACTCTTGCGCGTTGTTCCTCAGAGAGCGGGTCCGCCCAACGATAACAGGGCAGCGATGGAGAGTGGAGCAGGAAATACACAGATGACATGTAGACTTTAACAAACTCCAGTTTTAGATAGGAGAGGTCCCTCTGTAAACACACAGGGAGAAAGCTTTAGTTCATATTCACATCTCAGTGTAAGCCACCCAATCTATTATACTGACAGCATCCTCTACAGGTCTGAGCTGATATTACGCATCCAAAGATGCAGACTGTTACTGTAATAATGTGTAATGTATTAATGTGTATGCGATAGTCCCCGTAGGGAAATTGCTCCTCTGCATTTAACCCATTCACCCAGTGAAGCAGTGGGCAGCCACCAATGCAGCGCCCAGGGAGCAGTGTGTAGGGACGGTACCTCAGGGTAACCGTTCAGTGGAGTCGAACCCCCCGACCTTCCGATCATGGGGCCACCACTCTACCTACTGAGCTATCCCTACCCCACTGAGCTATCCCTAAACTCAGTAGCTATCCCTACTGAGTTTAATTAATTAAACCAGGCAATCAATACTTCTTCAAAGCTACCTTTTACCTAACCAAAACATCCTATTTCCTCTTTGTTCCCAAAAAGAAAGCAGATCCCCAACATATCACTTTGTAATGGGATCTGTGTCCCAAAACCCTGTTTCCAAAAGAGTTGTAATAATGCATAAAATGTAAATAAATCCAGAATGTCTGGCCTGCAAATCATACAATCCCTTATATTTGATTAAACATGACAAAAAGACATATTAAAAACCTGGAAGGAAAAAATAATTAAAATTTTTACGTTTCAAAATAGTTGGTACAGGCCCGATTAATATATTTACAGGTTTGCATATGCTTCCATCCAGACACAGGGGACGCTAGACCACCGAGACAACTACACTTAAACTCGAACTCAGCAGTTTTTCAGTCGTTTTATAATGACTGCCATTATACTATTTAAGCAAATATGTAGTTCAAATAATTTGCATTCCATTTTTTATATTTGCACCGGGCAAAAATGTGTTTGGACACAGAGTTGTATAACTACACACCTACACGCACGCACCTTTTGTGCTCTGTTCATGTTAGTCTCAGCATCCAGCCAGGCACTCTGGAAGAAACAGTTATTTGAATATTCAGTTGTCCTTACCATCAAACAAATGTGATGGGTCATACCACTTAACAAGCTTTAAACTCTCTCTATATATAATCACACATTATTTTTACTATGAGAATATTAAAAATAATCTCACAGAAATCATCTTCAACAAGCAGAATTTCAGCTGTGTTGATAAAGCAACAAAACAAAGGAGCAGTTGTTGAATCTTATTTGAATGACAAATGTGACTTTTCTCACCCTGAGAGCATCTAACAGGTCTGGCTGGTCCAACAACACAGGGAAGGTTGAAAGTATAGGACTGCATATTAGATCTGAAAGAGAGATAATGGTATTAAACCCAGAGCTGTGAATGTGATCGGTTTGGATAAGAACCACTGACAGTGCGAGCTACCTGCATTCTGCATTGTGGGCCTGTCCATCAGCAGTGCGTCTGCAAGCAGATGCCTGTGCAGAACCAGCAGATGGATGCAGTTTAGGCAGTGGAGGAGAGTATCTGGAAGGACACTGAAGAGAAAAAATGTACTTATTACAAACATATACATGCACGCACATACATACACACAGGGATATATCTGAGATGAGTCAGGAATGAGTCCAAATAAACAGAGGAAGGCTTTATGGATAAGATATTCTACTGCAGGTGTTCAAGCACAGTGGCAGTCTTTTTTTCACTGATCTTCTAACCTGAGCTGTGTTTGCGTCCGGCTGTTGGCTGATTTCAGCTTAACAACAAGTTTGGGCTGCCGCCTGGCTTGGAGCAGCTGCTGGAAAACACCACTTGGAGCTGAAAGGAGAGGAGATACACTGATTAATATAACATAAAAACTATTATTTTGTTTCTATTGTTTTTTCCTTATATTATTTTAAGATCAAAATGTACTGAGTCTGCCATTTCTCCTTACATCCTCTAGTGGGTGACGCCTCCACTGCTACATCCTTCTCATATGGAGTGCCACCATTCACAGGCAGTTCATAGGTCCTGTACACAGTAGATAATTCAATTTTGTGCGCGCTTAATAATGTCAGTGGTTTTGCGCTAGGTGTCATTTTACTTTGTTAATCTTTTCACTACTGTAGGTGTCTAAAGAAAAGATATTCTGATATATTTTCGCAGCTTTTTCTGCATATGTCTGGATGAATGTAAAAAAACACATGTACCTGTTCGGCACAGGATTTCCTGCATCATCGGTCAATTTGAGGAAAGCCCAACCACAGCTTAGGTCTCCTCTCTCCCCAGTAGACTAAAACAGAGACACTTTTTCTTTTCTTTCCTTATATACATTTTTGTAATTCACAAAATTGTATGCACCCTTACATTTCGTATAAAAGTGACTCCTAATTCAAAGAGGATCCCGAGGTTAGGAGACGCAGAGTTGCAGCGCAGAAAACAGTCTCCATCCAAGAGGGTGGGCAAGATACCGGTCACCTTGAACAGACACACACATGAACACATGCTAAATTTCACATTTCTCACAATTTCTTTTTTTGTCTTCTTTTGCAGAGCCTCAGTACAAAGAGTCTGCAAATCAGTTTGTGTTGTAAGGTTACAAACATAGCAACCTCCACATACCCTTGGAGAGAAGCTCCAGGTCTTTGGGCTCTTGGCGTTGTAGGCTGCCCTTATTATGTGGATGTTACTCAAAACCTGAAACACAGTGAAACTCATGTTGAAAAAAGCAAGAGAGCAAGGGAATTAGATACAAAGAGTTAAATCTGAAAAAAACCCTGCATAAAAATCTTCCTGTTTTATGGCAGAAACGTGTTCTTTGTGATCTGAGTTGAGCTGAAATGTGACTGTTTCATAAGCTTACACACTTAAAGAGACCAATACATGATTCCTGCCACTAAAGTAATCAAGGATATGAATTACTACATCCACACTAGCCCAGTTAAATTTGAAAACGGCATTTTGGTCTGAAAACGCTCCGCGTCACACTATCGTTTTCAGTTGTTTTCACAGAGTTGTTGATCCATGGCCGAAAACGATTACGTTCCAGTCCTGCGCATGCATGAAACGCAAGACGATTCGACCTGCCTCATTTCTGTCTGCTGCTTATTTACTTTCCGGCTCTCTGAAATGTTGTGACAAAATGTTGAGGAAAAGCACCAAGTTTTTTAAATGGACTAACAATGAGGTGAGTTGTTGCTGCGAGTAACACAAAAGTACAAAGTTGCAAAGCAAGTGAGAATTAAAGAATTTGAAGAAAAGCTATCTGGAGCATGTGCAAACTGATCTTTAATAGGGCTGTCAAAATTGAGAACAAACAAAACAACTGCTGTATAATGCCCTCCGCTATCATAGTTTAATTGGTCACATGACTGCATCACATGACAAAATGTATCATCAACTTCGAAAAAGTTCCGGGTTCGCTGTTCACACTGCTACGCAAAAACGGCGTTTTCGAATGTATCCGCTTTGAAAAGCGTTTTCAGAACGCTGCGCTTTCCTTGACCTGTATGCACCCTTACATTTCGGTCTCAGTGTGGACGGAAGGCCAAAACGGAGAGACAACGATGCCCTAGCCGTAATGTTTGACACCTGTTTTACCTAATACACCAAAAGTATTAATAAAATTCATTATACTCTGAAGACATTTGGAGAAATTAAAGAAGTGCAGTAAAACATTACAGTACAAAAGAACGTAATAATGATCGCTCCAACCAAGGAAGAATGGAAGCAAATGTTCCCCTGATTCTGTTTGTAATAACGACAGTGGTATAAGCTTTCTGCACAAGCAAATATGCTAAGCCATAAATTCTAGATGTGCAGATAAGGTTGAAATAGCTCTTTTTGCAGACGACTGTACACCACTTTATACAGCACATTTGAGTCTATTTAGAGTGACGCAAAAAAGAAAAAACTTCATATAATGAAGCGTTCAGGATCTTTCTCAGTTCTCTAAATGTTTGTGACTTAGTACCTTTCTTGGTGTGTGGCATAAATTTATGTTGTAAATATCTCATAATGGTTTTAAATGATTTCTTTTTCATTTTTTGTCATGGACTAGTGTCTAAAATAAAAGTATACAGAGACAACCATGATACCTGAGTTCCGTCAAAGGCGCAGAGGCGGACGTGCCGGCTGAGGACTTGAACACCGACCCCAGGAGTAGGAATCATCCTGCAGCTCCACAAACTGAAACAAACACTCGTGCTGACCTGCCGAGGACGAACCTACACCACAGGAGAATCACACAGTAGGCAGGTTTATGACTATAGTTGCTGGTAAGTGTCAGAAACACAGGGACAAGCTCACCTTGCCAGTGTCTGGGTCCAGGAAGAGGTCTTTAAAGGAGAGCTGTGATTGGCTGAGCTGAGGCTGAATGTAATGACTTCCTCTGTATGTTACACCTAATAAAGGACACAAAGGGTTACAGCTTTGCCCTGAAAGTCATGTAGCATTGGCTTGTTAGATAAATATTACTATTTACAGTGACAGCTGCTTCTATCAATACGGTAACAATAGGGTAAAAATTGTGCATCTAACTCACCATTCAACCTACTGTACCAAAACAACTACAGTAATAAAAATAACATCCAGTATAACTCACCCAGTATAAACTCTTAATTGTTGAAGCCTGTGCAGTTATGAACTTGAATAAATTAAAATGTCTTTTAAACCAGCTCCTTTATCTCACAGTGTAAGCTGTTCAAGCTGTTTTAAGTTTTGGGTGTCATCTTAGTTTAAATCCAAATTTCCATTAAAATGCAACAATTTGTAGAATTGTTGATTTTTCCAAATATAAATGTGACACATCCTGTGATTTCTGCTTCACTGATGCAAGGATTTGTTACTACCTTGGAATACATTACTTAGAATTGGGGAAATGTAATCCACATATTTTGCTGCTTTATAGAAAAATTATACATTGACAAAGTAATTGGCAGAAGTTGAGTAACTGGCAATGAAAACAGTTTTCCCCTAGCCTTATAACAGCCACTTAACCTGTAGGATGATGTCAGGCAGCACTAAGGGAGGCAGGTCTGTTCACCACCAGTGGACCAGCAAGCTCTAGGATTTACTGAATTCTGCCAGTGCTTCCAAAACTGCACAGATCCCCCATTGTGGGCAGAGTTTACTTCATATTAATTTGTGAGTTTATCCAGTCTCTCTCTCTCTCTCTCTCTCTCTCTCTCTCTCTCTCTCTCTCTCACACTCACACACTCACACACTCACACACACACACACACACACACACACACACATGCTGCATAATGACCTTCCTCCACCAGTAATTTATTGAGAGTTGATGGTCTGAATCCTGAAGGTATAGCACCCATGGCGGAGAGCACATCTGTTGCATCAATCTGTCACAGACACACGATAAAACCATAAAACGTATTTAACACAGCGCTAAAGATTATGAATGCAGTATTTGTTGTTGGGAAAATTAATAGCAATTTCAGTTCTTGTAGTTATAACTGTAGAGTATAGAAAGTCGCACCTCACTCAGAGCCTTTTTGACTGTAGACCAGTTAGAATGTGAAGCACTGTCAACAAAAACAAAAGAAACCAAGAATAATTATGTTATTCATTCACACCAGTAAGTAATATTTTTATGTTGCCATTAATCTGGATAAATGTAGTTTTCAAAATTATCTTCCTTTTAAACAAAGTCTCTCAAGTGTAGGGAAACACAGACCCTGGAAGCTTAATGCCATTAAATAAAAATTAAATAAAAAACTTTCAACCTCCATTTGTCTGGATCATCAGTTAATTCTTCACTATCTTGATTTTCCTCCTCTTCCGACTCCTCCTTGTCATCATCATCTTCTTTTGAATCATTGTCATCATCATCATCATCTTCCTCATCAACACTAGAGCCAATCTAACACATTATGGTTACATTTAAAATATAATCAGAAATCATATCCTGTTATGGTCTTGATCTTTTTTGTCAGTCTATACTAATATTAAAAACACAATGAATAAAGAAAACTGCTGCAGGCTGCATTTTAATGTTCTCAGTAATGTTTTATAATTCCTTCAGCTAAACACTTGTCTAAATGAAAATTCATAATGTTGGACTTGCTATCATTGCAGATTTTGTACCTTCAGGAAGGTTTTTGGAACCACTCCTCTGCTGCCTTTAGTGTTCTGAGCCAGCCACCATCCATCTGCTGCCTTCCTGATAATCCTCAACACCTCCCCCTTCTGAAACAACAGGCCACAGAACACCATGTAAGTTCACATAACTCACACATTTATAACAAACAGATGAGATCAAATGCAGTTCATCACAGACATGTCTAAAATTCAGATGTGAGGATAAACCTATCTTCCTAATCGGTTAAGTACTTGATTAAAAATTAACCAGCAATGGAATAAGATTCATTAACACAAAGGGATATCAAATTGGATAAGTGGAGATGGATGGATGGATGGATGGATGGATGGATGGATGGATGGATGGATGGATGGATGGATGGATGGATGGATGGACATAACGATTAATAAAGCTTATAAATTACACTACAGTGCACTAGACTACATGCCAATATCTACCAGACACATCATAGAAATGTTTAAAATTAAAAAGGTAAATAGTTTTCAGAAATATGTAAATTACATTTGTTACTTAATTCAGGCCTGCAAGACTTGAAGAAGAAGATTTGGATGGCTAGAGCGCCCTCTTCTGTTGAAACTAAATATTATACAATATCGCTTTTAACATGCAAGGGGAAAGAATCCAAGCTCTAAACGTCCTAAATATATTGCTGACATCAAGGCTGTTTGTGTTTTACCCGAACAGACAGATCTCCTTCCTGCTCTCCTTTGAAATCACTGAGGACCATGTAGATGCGAGCATCTGACTGAGATGGCGGTTTCAAATCTCGCCTCTCATCACCGGCAATGTTGTTAACAATTTCTACATGCTCCTCTTCATTGTCGTTACTGTCTTCGTCATCGTCTTCTTCAGCACTATTTTCACTATCTTCCTTTGAAACATTACTGTGGACCAGGGAATAATTCAGTGAAAAAAGGTATTCTTGGGTCAGATTTGTCAATCAATTGTCATTGAATCTGTCAGATAAACTGATGCTTTGCAATGAAGCATGCAGGTTAAATTGTTGTGGGGAAGTCAAGCCCCCTGCAGCATGGACTATAAAGTACATACACAGATCAACAACAAAAAAACTCTACCGTCCCAGTTTTCCTTCTTTGCACTTAACACACATTTCACTAACCCTGCTTCAGTGCTAGGTCCTGGTGGCGACAGCTCCAGAGAGAGAGTTTTTAGACGCTCCATGATGTTTTGCACTCGTCGCTCCTCTTCCTGTTTCCTCTGATCATAATTGCCCACTGGAGCCAGCTCCTCACCCTGAAAGATCAAGCGTTAGCTTATGATGGCTAATTAGCTACACTGCTGTCAACCATGCAACATTTTCCACAAAGATAAATTAATATATCGATTTGCTGCCGTAAGTAATGACAACTGCTTTAATAAAAACAACTAATATTAGTCAAGTAATATCACTGATTGCTTCCAATTGTTGGCATCGAAAGATTATATTAAATCTGTGTACAATAATAGTATTTGAAAAGGTTGAAAAGTTTCTTAAAGATTAGAAAACTAACCTTGCTCAGTTTCTTCAGTGTCCTTAGTGTCTCCTCTGCTGACATTTGCAGTTTTTGGCATCTGTTTGCAAGTAGATATCAAATTTTCAAGCATTCCATAAAGTAGGTGATCAGGGCATGTGGTAGAGAGGGTCATCATGCTGAAATATCCTTGGGCAGACTGATAGCGAACTCACTGATGGACCCATTGCAGTCTGAGTACGTGTGTAATTGTTAGAAAATGTTTATAGATACAATCCTGTATGGATTTGTGCGTGACTGGGTGAGTGACACTTTTAGCAGAAAACCCTTTGAGTGCTCAACTGACTACTAACTACACACAAGGATTTCAATGTTAAAACAGGTGAGGGTGCTCATCTTAAGGAGTAAGGAAGGGCACTGCTGGTGCTCTACCTTCGAAAGGCCTCTTCAGTGGATCCAGCCTGGCTCTGGACATCCTTCTCCAGACTGTCAACCTGTGAAAGTGTTTAAATCAATGTACAGTTCAGCGTTTATATTGATGATTATGTCGGTTTTTATTCTGGTTTACATTGCTAACTCACAGCAGTGCATCATAATGAATTGTTACGAACAGATGCTAATCAATATTTATGCTAGCGCATGCCACGTCGGTAAAGGGCTTATAAGACAAAAGTGTTTAGAGAAACAGTCGAGTTCAAGCCTCGGGATCACATCATTTCGAAAAAGCTCTGGTGGTACATGTGCAACAACTGTATAACGTTCAGTCCGAACAGTTTGGTGCAGTCGCACCTAAGTTTAAAGCGTCGTTCTTGAACTGACCTGTTTTTTTATTTCATCCACTTCTCTCTGGGCTAGCTGCAAAGGTCCTCTTCTTTTTAGTGGCATTTATACACTTTTTAGGGTCACACGGTACGTGTGTTAGCTGATCTTCTAGCTTGCTAACTGACGCTGGGCTTCCAACAGTTGCTAAGCAACTGACTTCTTCTTCTTCTTCTGTATAAGGTTTATTGGCGGTTGGCAAACAGCAAAATGGTGCATTACCGCCACCAACTGGTGTGGAGTGTGGACCGAAAAAGCAACTGACTTCTTCGATTTTTTTTTAATTGTCAATGTAATTTCCGTGCTCATTGTGGGTTTGTTTTAGTCAGCATATTTCGCTTATGTAATATATTTTTATATATTCGTAAATGAATGAACGCGATATTAATACAAAGACTATGTTTTCTGTTTTTTTTTTGCAATTATTGGCAGTTTACAAGCTTACATCAAGCTACCGCCGCCTACTGGTCTGGATATTTTCTCACGATTCCTTGAAAAATTACTGACGTTACTGCGACTTCATAATGTTGGAGTTGTTTGTGTTTAATGCGCATTTAATTCAGATTCAATGCCATAAGCGTAAAAATTGATCGGTCTAAAGCCAAATATTGGATCAAAAGGCAAAACTACCATTATTGATTGTAATCATATATGAATCCAAATACCCTCCAAATTATGATGTAATGCATTTCCATTTCCTCTAATACTAGTTTTTAAATCCTAGATGTTTGATGCTTTTACAGGTTTTATGTCCAAAAAAGATAACATAAAATATTACTGATATTTTTACTTCTCTTCCGAATCGAGCGTGAATTCCCCCCCAATAATCCTCAGCTTTTGACTGATCGAACCCATCCAGCACCACATCTACAATACAATACAATCTTGGTCAATACGCCCTGTAAAATTATATCACTCTTTCAAAGGACACTTGCAATGCACAGTTGTGTAAGTGCTTTCAGAAAGACCTATAGGGGGCGTACGTTACGTCCTTTGCCTTTCGTGTTACCTTCACTGTCACTTTTCTTTTCCCCAAATTTCAAATGTATAATTTCAAAACATACCACCACTGTAACAGCGTTGGGGTTTTTTTATATAAAAAAAAGTTTAAAGGTCGCTTATGAGCCCATTTAAGATGTCGTTCGGCAAGCGTCCTCGCTAAATTGCCCCCGATTTTCTAAGTTACGACCCTTTGAGTGGCAGTGAAGGCAGCAAACACTGTTAGTTATGTCATTTATCAACCATGGCTGCACCCGTCGCTCTTATTCAAGGTGCGAGCAGAGGACTGGGCTTTGGATTCTGCAAATATATACTTAAAAATAAATCACTCGCTACTGTTGTAGCAACATGTCGAAACCCGGACGGGGCTGCAGAATTGCGGAGCCTGGCCGGCCAACACCCGGGCCGACTGATGGTCCTCAGACTGGACGTGAACCACGAGGAGGACATCCGCGGAGCTGCAGAGAGGGTTAAGGAGAGTTTCGGTCGGCTGGATCTAGTCGTCAACTCCTCGGCAATGCTTCACCCTTCGGGGAAAGGAGAGACCAGCTTGAGGGATGTTTCTGCACAGGTAGACCTTTGTTTTAGTGTGAGAAGCCACATTTCCGTAAAAACTGGAGTAAAAGTTAGTTTAACTCACTGTCGTGAGCCTGTGTAGAAAATACATGCACAGAAGTAGTGCAAAAAACTTGGTGAGACACCATCATCATAGAGGCATTTGGATTTCCCCCTGTAATGGTACATACATTGGACTTTTTCTAACAATCTCTGGTGGTCCTTAAACTGTGCTGGTGATGTCTGTGTCCAGCAAGAGAGTCTGAAATCGGCAACACCAAATTCATTAAATCCTTAATTAAGTAACTTTTTTCCCATTTTCAGGGTATCATTTCCACCTTAACGACTAATACAGTGGGTCCTTTGGTCATGGCCAAGTATTTCTCCCCCCTCCTTCTTAAGGGCAGTGGTGGATTTGGTCAGCAGCCTGCAGAGAAAGCCAAACAGCACAGCGGAATCATTGTTAACATCACAGCGAAAGTGGGATCAATTGGAGACAATGGTATCTGGTGGTTCCAAAACACTTTGTGCATACATGTCATGTAGGCAGTGGCACTTCCAGACCAGATTTATCAGTGGGACCAGTGTTTTGTTTTGTTTTTTTAATCGGGGCACAGAACAAAACAAAAAAGTTTTTTTTTTTTAATGTATTAAGCACATACTGTACAGGATTGACAGTCTCTGTTTCTGATCCCTCGTTCTTTGCATCCTCTCCAGCTAACTCCTCTTTCTCTCTTTCATCCCCTCATGATCTTCATCCTCTCTCTCTACACTGTTCTTTGTTAACAGGAGAAAAACCCACCAGCTAAACGGCTCCAAATTTAAAAGAGCAAGTGTGCAGCACCCTAAACGGTCCACGTTGAACACCTCAGCAATTTAATTCCAGTTACCGTGCCACTGCATATCACCATAAGAAATCAATTAATTATTATCTCTTGAGCACAGAGGCCAGAGCTAGTTCTACGGGGGCGTTGGCCCCTGTCTAAAACCACCTATGCACATAGGCAGCACCACTTTTGTCACTTAGCTGAAGGACAGAGCATAGTTACAAAGCAGATATTTATCTTTTGTTATAATGTGCATGCATGCACAGTGGTAAAATGTTCATCTCTAACACTTTTTTCTCAGGTCTTGGAGGTTGGTACAGCTACAGAATGTCTAAAGCAGCTCTTAACATGGCCACTAGGAATTTGTCTATAGAGCTGGGCCGCAGTCGACCCAAGGTAAGTGTTTTCATACATGCTGCATTAATGTCTTGATGCATGCTCAATCATCAAGTTAAGGAAATCCCAAAGTTGAGTCTATTCATGTGGTTGTTTGTTTGGTTGGCGTTTTCAGTGGGAGAAACATTTCGTCATTCGTCCAAGTGACTTCCACCCTTATGTGTCGGGATTATCAGAACAACTGAGACGCATTTTCTCTTAAGACTGGGTCTCTGTTGGTTTCAAACCCCAAGACACACTGTGCCAAAAATTGGTCCACCCAAAAGATATGTCACAAATAGAGTAATATAGTGTACGCTGTTAAGTGCCAGGAGGATTGCCAGGATTTATACATCGGGGAAACCAAACAACCTCTGGCTAAACGGATGGCACAGCACACAAGAGCTAACTTGTCAGGCCAGGACTCCGCAGTCTGTTCACACCTACAGGCCACGAGATACTGTTTCAATGATGAGGATGTACACATCCTGGACAGGGAGGAACTCTGGTTTGAGCAGGGAGTCAAGGATTTACATGAAAAGGGAAAAACATCTCTGAGCTTAAGGTCTAAGATGCTTGTTACTGGTGTTTGTATCTTTCTTTTAGAGCATGGATTAGGGCATGCCCTTGTACATAGATCCCATAGCCCATAATGATGTTTTTTTCCCCCAGGTTGTTTGTGTGTCCCTACATCCAGGAACAGTGAACACAGACCTCTCCAGGCCTTATCACCGGAATGTGCCACAAGACAAGCTGTTCAGCGCTGAACACTCTGTGAACTGTCTAATGAGCATCGTTGACACACTAAATATAGAAAAGACTGGAAAAGCGTACAGCTGGGATGGAACCGAACTTCCGTGGTAGAATTTCTAAGAGATGAATTTCACCACTTCTGGTCTTAATGGTGAATTTCTGAGCAGTGTTGAGACAATGTGGAGATGAGCTGGACTTCATGCTATTGCTGTACAAGACATTTGTGCTCAAGTGACAGTTCAGATGGTCAATGAAAAAACTCTTTTACTACCTCATAATTATCCAAAGTGCTTAAATCATCTGTAGCACATACAGCTTTTGTGTGAAGCCATTATTGACAATGTATCTGGTTTCAATATTTCATACAACTCTCATATAATTTAGTACTGCTCATTTTAATGGTAAAAATCATGTAATATCTCACTAATCTTGACGTCTTTCCCCAATTCAGTAATATCATCAGGTGGTTTGTATTAAAGGTGAATAAATTATCTGACTGTTTAAAATTTGTGGTTGCATTACACACACAAGCAGTCATTTTGGAAACAAGTGCTGTGGACATGCAGTATGTTTTAAGAAAAAAAGATTGCATGGCTGGAGTTAATCTGCTAGTACATTCTACATGCAAATGTTGCACAAAGACTAACTCCTAAAGATAAAATAATAAAATCCTTTACATAGGATCTGTAAGAATTTTTTTTTCATCCACATCAAGTCTGAAACTGATTGTGATAAAAGTTAATCCCAAAGAATCTGACTCTTTATGAGATATAAAGATGAAGCTATTTGGCAACTGGAAAAACACTGGACTGCAGCAGTCATGGCTCAGTCTGTTGCAATCTTCCACCAGAGGTGTAGTCACAAAACAATTAGTGCTTTCACTACCTCATATATTCAGAAAAAGTTAATTTAATATGTAATTATAATAATGGATTGCATTTATATAGCGCTTTTCTAGGCACCCAAAGCGCTTTACAATTCCACTATTCATTCACTCTCACAAACTGGTGGAGTTGTAGCCACAGCTGCCCTGGGGCAGACTGACAGAACATTCCGGTTACAGATGAGCTTCCCAATCCCCTGAGCCACGGTCGCCCCGTAATCATAAGAAAATGAATACAACTCCAATAATGTAAATAGATTACTGCATTTGTAGGCTTTTGGTTTTGTAAGTTGCTTTTTAAAACAAGATTTACACTTTAAATTAGAGATGGCACGATACCACTTTTTTATGTCCGATACTGATACCGATATCATAAATTTGGATAGCTGCCGATACCGATATGAATCCGATATAGTGTTTTTTGATCAACAAAACTGTTTTTTAAATATCTTGCTGCATTTTGTATAAGTTCATACTCAAGTTTAAAACAACAACTACACTAAAGCTATTCTGTTATACCTGTATGCAAAAAAAAATATTTCATAGTTCAGCAATACTGTTCAATCTAATAAACTTAAACCTACACCATCCTCCCTATTCTGGTATTTTAAAGAGTACTTAGCATAAATATTAAGCAACCTAACTAATAGGGTTCCAACTCCCAGCAACAACAAAAATAAATAAATAAAAAATAGGGAACCACCCCTTAGACTTGTAGTCAAGACCGCCTAATCCGAGACCAAGACAAGACCAAGACCAGAGGGTATCGAGACCAAGACAAGACCAAGACCAAGACCAAGTTGAGACGAGACCGAGTCGAGACGAGACCAAGACCGAGACAA